GACTGGCTGGGGGTGGCACTGGATGGGCTTTAAGGTCCCTCCCACTCAAACCAGTGTGGGATTCCATGGACTGGAAAACAGTGCAGGGAATCCCTGCTGTCCCAAGGGTGATGGCAATAATTCCCTCTTGAGCAGAGGCTTGAATCCCTGAGCAAATTCCCTGCAGCTGCCAGGTTCTGCTTCCCAAAACTGCTGGGACACTCACTGGGGGTGTTTCCACACTGTGAGGGAGGTGGGGACATGGATGGGTCTGTCTTGGGCATGGAATCACACAAGGTTTGGGTTGGGAGGGACCCCAAATCCCACCCAGTGCCAGCCCTGCCATGGAATTGAATATTCCAGGGGTCCAGGGGCAGCCACAGCTGCTCTGGGCACCCTGTGCCAGCCCTGCCCACCCTGCCAGGGAACAATTCCTAATTCCCAAAATCCCATCCAGCCCTGCCCTCTGGGTTTCTGCTTGCCCTGAACAAGACTTGGTGCCCTGGCTCTGCACCTCCCAGGGAAGGAGTCTGCCAGGGAAAGTAGGTTAAAAGGAATAGGAAAACAGGCATGTGCTAAAATCCCAATTCTGTTTAATAAATCAATTTTTTTTAAGAGGAAAGAAAGGATTTCTCTGTGAATTTCCCACGTGCTTGTGGCTGAGTGTGGTGGGTTAGAGCTGCAGTGTGACAGTCCTGTCCTGCCTGTAGTGACCAAGCTGCACAGTGTCAGCTCAAAGTATAAAAACCCCGAGTGCTTCCCTGCCGGTGGCAATGGCTGCAGAGCTCAGGGCTCCGTCAGGCTCTCAGGTTTGGGGCTCGGAGCTGGGAAGGCAGGATGGATCCTGAGCCCTTTGCCCTGCTCCCTGTGCTGCTGCTCTGCAGCCTCGGAGCTGTCAGAGTTCCCCTTGGCACTCCTCAGCCCTCGGGGGGAATGGAAATCTCTGCATCCCTCACAGTTTAATGCCTTCGTTAACATTCCTGCCGTCGTCCTTGGCATTTTTTCATCGAAAGCCAGAGTTCCATGGAGGAGCCCTGAGCACGGAAGTTCACCCAGCCCTTGTTTACACGGCTGAAATATGTAAACAGTTCATTTTCCCCAAATATAGGGCTTTTTTCCTTGGCTGCCCTCCCGGTGTTTATAAAAGGCAGTTATGTAAATGACAATTGTAATAATTAAGCTGCTGTTTGCTGCTGCAGAGCTCAGAGCTGCAGGGGCTGAGCCCCATTATTGGAGATAATGGGACCTTGCAGAAGGAAATCAAGGGAAATTAAACAAACAAAATGCTCCTTAGAGAGGATCTCCCATGAGAAAGGGAAGGTTTAGAGTGATGTTTCAGGAGATTGTCCTGTCCAGCCCTGCTCAGGCAGAGCTGCTGCTCCAGGCCATGTCCTGTTGAGGTTTGGGTTCTCCATGGCTGGAGCTGCACAGCTCCTCTGGGCAAGTTGTGCCACCATGAGACACATCTTTGTCATCTGGTATAAAACCACCCCAAACTGCCTTCCCTGGGAGCTGAAAATGGCTTCAGACTGCACAGGGACGTTCAGGTTGGGTACTGGGGAGAATTCCTTAATGGAAAATGTTGTGGCACTTGGGGACATGGTGAGTGGTGGCCTTGGCAGTGCTGGGAACAGTTGGGCTCGATGGTGGCCAAGGGCCAGTGACTCAGTGAAATTCCAGCTGTGCTTTAGCACTCGGGGTCAGTGCCCTGTGCTGATCTCAGTGTGCCCTGTGCTGATCTCAGTGCCCTGTGCTGATCTCAGTGCCCTGTCCTGATCTCAGTGTGCCCTGTGCTGATCTCTGGGTGCCCTGTGCTGATCTCAGTGCCCTGTGCTGATCTCAGTGTGCCCTGTGCTGATCTCAGTGCCCTGTGCTGATCTCAATGTGCCCTGTGCTGATCTCAGTGTGCCCTGTGCTGATCTCAGTGCCCCCTGTGCTGATCTCAGTGCCCTGTGCTGATCTCAGTGCCCTGTGCTGATCTCAATGTGCCCTGTGCTGATCTCAGTGCCCTGTGCTGATCTCAATGTGCCCTGTGCTGATCTCAGTGCCCCCTGTGCTGATCTCAGGGTGTCCTGTGCTGATCTCAGTGCCCCCTGTGCTGATCTCGGTGCCCTGTGCTGATCTCAGTGCCCTGTGCTGATCTCTGGGTGCCCTGTGCTGATCTCTGTGCCCTGTGCTGATCTCTGGGTGCCCTGTGCTGATCTCAGTGCCCTGTGCTGATCTCTGGGTGCCCTGTGCTGATCTCTGGGTGTCCTGTGCTGATCTCAGTGCCCTGTGCTGATCTCAGTGCCCTGTGCTGATCTCAGGGTGGTGACACCACTGGGGTGGCAGCAGGACCCCGGGTTGGAGATGGGGGGGAGGGATGGATGGAAGCCCAGGAGGGATGGAAATCCTGCAGGAGGGATGAGCAGGAGGGATGGAAATCCTGCAGAAGGGATGGGCAGGAGGGATGGAAATCCTGCAGGAGGAACTGAGCCCGGCCCATGCTGATGTGCCCAGGTTAATGGCTCATCAGGGACACCCCTGGGGAAGAACAGGGGACTCTTTGTTCTGCACCCCATTGGGCTGATAGTGGGGAGATAAAGATGAAAACAAAGAGCAGGCCCGGAGCCACAGAACAGCGGGATGGAGCCAGGAGGTTCCCGGTTTTGTTCCTCAGGACTCCAGGAGTCCCAGCCCTGGTGGGGACCAGGCAGCAAGTGTCTCCTGGGGAAGCTGCTGGAGCAAAAACCAGGGCTGGGCGTTCTGGAGAAGGAGATTTACTAAAACAAAGCGAATTTCGCACTCATTTTGAGGTTTGTGTTGGCTGAAGGTGTGTTGGAATAGCCTGAGTGCAGATGCCAGGGCTGGGAGCAGCCCGGGACAGGGGAAGGTGTGGAGGAGCTTTAGGTCCCTTCCCACCCAAAGGATGATTCTGTGCTGTGATCTTTAGGCTTAATCTTCCACCAGGCTTATGCAAAGTGCCTGGGGCTGGTCTTTGTTCCTTCATTTGGGTTTTCCTGCAGCTGCAGCCCTCGGGGATGACAGGGAGGGCGATGAATAGCCCATCCTGGCTGCCGAAATGTGGGGAGCGTTCTGCCATCAGCTCAGGGTCGTGTGCTGATCAAATCCCCAAGCTCAGGCTCTTTCTGGTCTTGATGAAAGCACCACATTCCTGCCTGGGTTTGGTTTGATTGCTCTTGATGGTGTAGGTGGTTGAAAGCTTTGTTTTATTGCTGCTGCTCTCAGTCAGTCTCCATTCGTGCCATTAGTGCTGGAAACCCCCAGGGGTTGTCCTTGGGGTGGCAGAACTCTGGCTGGGATCCCCTCAATGCTTGGCTCCCCCAGTCCTTCATCCCTGCCATACTCATCCCTGGTTGAGCCCCAGGGCTCAGGAGCTCCGTGGTCAGGAGGGGGTTAATGTGAATAAACCCACTTTTACAATAACACGACCTTCCCTTCCCATAATCCAAACTTTGCTACAGCGTTGCCACGTTCTCCCCTGCAACAACAAGCACAGGCTCGGAACAAGATAACCATGGAATATTTTGGGAAATATCTTTTAGCCTGGCTTCATTTTTCCTTCCTTTCTGGGTCCAAGGGCAGCATAAACACAGAGAGCATCTCGTGTCCCTGCTCGTGTCCCTGCTCGTGTCCCTGCTCTCTGCTCCTCGGAGGAGCTGGGAAAGGCCCAGCCCAAAGTTCTGAGCCAAGAGAAAACTCCTGCAGGGGAGGGGAGGACCCCAAATCCCTCCAGATCATCCTCAGGACATCCAGTGTTATTCCAGGTCCATGTGGTCCCAGTGTCCATTGTCCAGCTGGCCAGGAGCGCCTGGGGGAGCAGGGAGGCCTGGGGAAGGTTCCCAGTGCAGTCACTGGTTTGGTCACCAGTTCACAGCTCTGGCACAGGGACAGACATGTGCAATATGGCATGGCAGGGAATAAACTTCCTGGGCTTTGGGAAGCAGCAGGACACCAGCCCTGCCTCCATCCCTGTCCAGGTCACCTTGTCAGTGGGAGCCATTCCCTGTGTCCTGTCCCTCCATCCTTTGTCCCCAGCCCCTCTCCAGCTCCCCTTTATGCCCTGGCAGGGGCTCTCAGGTGTCTCCTGTCCAGGTGAACCCCCCCAGCTCTCCCGGCCCGTGCAGCACCTTGCCTTGGCACAGTCCCAGCTCTCAGCCTGCCCAGGTCCCTCAGGATTGCCCATCCCTGGCTCTGGTGTCACCACCTGGCAGTGCCATGCACTGGGCCAGCCCCCTTTGGGCTCGGGCACGCAGCAAAACGTGACCTGTTGGTCTTGGAAAGTGGAAAATGAGGAAAAGCAGCCAGAGGAGCCCGTCCCATAGTCAGGAAGGAGGGAAGGGTGTTTTATAAACGTGTCTTATAAACACACAGCTCTTCCTCCCCTGACACCCGGCTGCACACGGTGCCAACAGCTCCAGGGGACACTGGAGCTGGGGCCAGAGCCTGCTGGGGGAACTGGGGCAGGGGCCAGACCCTGCTGGGGGAACTGGGGCAGGGGCCAGACCCTGCTGGGGGAACTGGGGCAGGGGCCAGACCCTGCTGGGGGAACTGGGGCAGGAACCAGACCCTGCTGGGGGAACTGGGGCCAGACCCTGCTGGGGGAACTGGGATCCTGGTGGGGATGGGGAGGGATGGGGGTGAGAGGAGCAGCCCTGCCCTGGGCACTGCTGCTGCCCCAGCCTGCTGCAGCTTCCAGGGACACCCTGAGGGGATTACTGCTGCTCCCTGGGTGTCCCTGGGTGTCCCTGCTGTGCCCTGGATGTCCCTGGGGTGTCCCTGGGTGTCCCTGCTGTTCCCCGGGTGTCCCTGGTGTCCCTGCTGCTCCCTGGGTGTCCCTGCTGTGCCCTGGATGTCCCTGGGGTGTCCCTNTGCTGTTCCCCGGGTGTCCCTGGTGTCCCTGCTGCTCCCTGGGTGTCCCTGCTGTGCCCTGGATGTCCCTGGGGTGTCCCTGGGTGTCCCTGCTGCTCCCCGGGTGTCCCTGGTGTCCCGGTGTCCCTGACGTGCTGTGTCCCCAGCAGAGTTCTGCCGCATTGACCAGGCTCTGTGCCACGACGAGGACGAGCAGCTGAGCTTCGAGGCCGTGCGCAACATCCACAAGCAGATGGACGACGACGCCAACGGCAACGTGGACGTGGAGGAGAGTGACGAGGTCAGCGTGGGCTGGGGCTGGGGCTGGGGCTGGGGCTGGGGCTGGCCCTGGGGCCTCCTCCTCGGCACAGAGCAGCCTCGAGTCACCCTGACAGAGAGACAGAGGCTTCAGGCAGCTCTGAAAATGCTGTTTGTGGCACAGCCCAGGTGACAGCAGTTGGGGGTGCTGGGGGAGCCCAGAGCTGCTGGCTGTGGCCAAGCCCTGTGTCCTGGAGCCCCTCTAGCTCTGGTTACAGTGCATTGGGAACTTTTCATTGCAGAGCATCTGAATCCATGGCTGCCAATCAGCATCACACCCAGCACCTTTTCCATGGACACACAGCCCATCCAAACTGCTGAAATCACCACATTATGTCAGGGACAGCCAATCTTTGCAGTTAGTGGTCACATGGTAAACTTTGGGATTGTTCTGCTGTGGAGATTTCTGAGATCTTTTCTCCACTTGCAGCATTGGCTTTCTTGTTTGCCTGTGAAAGTCCTTTTGTTAGGTAAAAACATCTTTTGTTTGAGGTGTGTTTATCCTTTGCTCTAAGCCATAAAAGCCCCTCCCAACTCACTTTGCTCTTTGCCTTCTCGTTCCCCAGTCAGACTGGCCCAGCAATTCTGTTCTTCTATATCAAAACTTTCATTCCTATAGAACCTTCTGTACATCTGCACAGCTCCTCTGTTAAATTCTCGTCCTTCCCAGCATGAGATGATCCAAGAGGTGTCTCAGGTGTCAGCAGTGCTGCTTGGGCTTCCCCTCACTGCTGGGGGCTTGTGGCCCCTTCATTGTCCACAGCAGCAGTGGCTGCCCCATCCCTGGCAGTGCCCAAGGCCAGCTTGGATGAGGCTTGGAGCAGCCTGGGATAGTGGGAGGTGTCCCTGCCATGGCAGGGGTGGAATTAAATGAGCTTTAATGTCCCTCCCAAGCCAAACCATTCCATGAGTTGATGTTTCCTGCATTCTCCCAGCAGCCAGCTGAAAGGGTTTCAGTCCGTGTGTGCTCACTGCTAAAACAGGAGCAGCTTTTTGTTGTGTCAGCCTTGGACATTTTAGCTGATAAAGAGCTGAAGAGAAAGGAAGTTGTTGTTCTTTGTTTAGACAAGCATGGATGGAAATAAGAGTCTGCTGGGAAGGAGCCTGCTTTGCTTGTGGTGGTGCCTCAGTTGTGGTGGGTGCTGCTGGAGGTGAGGAATTCTGTCTTCTAGGGAGAGCTGGCAGCAAAGCAGCAAAGTCAGAGTGTTGGGAGCTGAGAGGAGGCAGTGGGTGCAGGGATCTGCTGCCACTCACAGGTGGCTCTGCAGTCCCAGCTCACAGAATCCCAGACTGGTTTGGGCTGGAAGAGACCTTAAATCCACCCAGAGGGACACCTCCCACTGTCCCAATGTCCAGCCTGGCCTTGGGCACTGCCAGGGATCCAGGGGCTGTTCCAAATCCAGCCATCACAATGTCCCTCAGGAGTGGTGACAGTCCCCAGGGACACAGCACAGGCCCCTGTGCCAGGAGCTGCTGGTTCTGGTTGGCTGTTCCCTGGTCCTGGGTGGCTGTTCCCTGGTCCTGGGTGGCTGTTCCCTGGTTTTGGGTGGCTGTTCCCTGGTTCTGGGTGGTTGATCCCTGGTTCTGGGTGGCTGTTCCCTGGTTCTGGGTGGCTGTTCCCTGGTTCTGGGTGGCTGTTCTCTGGTTCTGGGTGGTTGTTCTCTGGTCCTGGGTGGCTGTTCCCTGGTCCTGGGTGGCTGTTCTCTGGTCCTGGGTGGCTGTTCCCTGGTCCTGGGTGGCTGTTCCCTGGTTTTGGGTGCCTGTTCTCTGGTTTTGGGTGGCTGTTCCCAGCTTGCAGGGCTGTTCCTCCTGCCTCAATCCCACTTGACTGAGTAATGGAAACAACTGCAAAGCTTCCAGTTGCATTTCCTGCAGCACATGAGGTGTTTCCCTGGAGGCCCTTGCCTGCACTGAGTGGCTGGAGCTGCAGCTCAGCCTGTCCCAGCTCAGCCCAGTCTGCTGCTCCCTGGCATTCCATGAGGAATGAGCCTCGTGTCCTTAGGGCTGGGCAGAACTGGCACTTTTATATCTCTGAGCAAATCTTGCCCCCTGGTACAAAGCTGTGCAGGGAGTGTGAGCTCAGAGCCCTGGCACAGACACTGCCAGGCTGGGAGGAACTCAAGGGGTTTTCTGAGAGGCTGCAGAATCAGTGCCCTGCTGCTCCAGGAGCAGGGACAGGAGGAGAGGGAACGGCCTCCATTGGACCAGGAGAAGTTCAGGTTGGATATTGGGAAAATTCCTCCTGGAAAGGGCTGTGCAGCCTGAGTGGGGCAGAATCCCCATCCCTTTCCTGCTGCCCACACTGTGGGACCAGCCCAGGGCACAGGGATTTCAGTGCCAGCTCTCGTGGCCAGGGCCTGTGCAGCTTCCCCCAGCAGTGCCCAGCTCCTTGTCCCCAGGGCTGCTCCCAGCCCATTGTCCCCAGGCTGTCGGTGCTGGCATTGCCCTGGCCCAGGGACACTTGGGTGTTTTATTTACAGCTGGACTCAGTGCTTTCTGGAAGTCTTTTCCAGCCTCAGTGATTCCCTGTCCCTGCTGCTTTACCTCTTCTATGAAGTTGCACTGAGCTCACCTGTCCGTGAGCTCTGGAGCCCCTAATGAGGAATTCCAGACATTCCCTCTGTGAGCCAGCTCCTGCTGGGTCCTTTCTCCCTGTCAAGGTTATCAGTGTCCCCCACATGGACCCTGCAGTCAGGTTTAACTGGGCTGTGCTGGGACAGCTGCTGGGGGATTATTGGGAAGAATGCAGGAGGCTCAGATTGAAACCTTTTACGGGGTTCCAGGTCTGGGCTGGGAGGGACTTCAAACCTCATCCATTTCCACCAGCTGCCATGGGCACAGACACCTTCCATTATCCCAGCTTGCTCCAAGCCTGGCCCAGCCTGGACTGGAGCACTTCCAGGGATGGCCATTTCCCTGCTTGGTTGAGAGCTTTATATTTTCATTTATTATTTTGGCCCCTACCCTTTGAGGGCAAGTGATGGGAGTATTTTGTTTGGACTGAAACCCCTGCCTGGGCAGAAGGGGACACACAGACTTCGATATTTTTAAAATAAATGATGGGTGGAGTTTTGTCTCACAGCTTCACTGTGTCCATAAATCACCCTTGCAGTTTTCCTGCTGGGAGGTGAATTTTCAATGAAGTTTCAGCTGACATCAGTGGCCTCGATTAAAGTGAAAGAACTGATGGGGATATCTTCTAATTAGGGCTCTGTTCCCGTGTATGCCGTGCTCACAGCCAGGGCAGCTCTGCCTGTTTGGGATGTGGGTTCCTGGTGCCAGGGCTCTGGGATGCTGCCAGGCTGCTTTCCTCAGGAAACGAGGCTTGTGCTGCTGCCAGCCCTGAGCCCTGCCCTTGGACACTGGAGGGTTTGGAGGAGCTGGGGAGCACAGAGAGCTCCTGGCACAGCACGAGCTGGGGCTTGGCAGGGAGGGTGGCACAGAGCCAGGCATGTGGGAGGCATGGGAAGGCTTGAAAAATCACTTCGGTAGCTGGAGTTTCTGCAGATACAAAAAACCACAAAACAGAGTTCAAGGAGAGTTTGGGCAACGCTGTCAGGCACAGAGTGGGATTGTTGGGGCTGTGCAGAGCCAGGACTTGGACAGGACTTCCAAATCAGGGGATTCTGTGCTTCTGTGGAACAAAAACCCTCCAGAAAATCCCATTTTGTGGATCTGCTCGTTTCTGAGTGTGCCTTCAGCCAGCAGGTTTGTCCCCAGTCCCTCTCCAGCTCTCCTGGAGCCCCTTCAGGCCCTGCCAGGGGCTCTGAGCTCTCCCTGCAGCTTCTCCTGTCCAGGTGAGCACCCCCAGGTGTCCCAGCCTGGCTCCAGAGGGGCTCCAGCCCTGGGACACTCCAGGGCTCCTCTGGGCTCTCTGCAGCAGCTCCAGCTCCTTTCCCTGTGCTCTTGGTGTCCCAGGGCACCAAGCCCAGCATTCCCAGGCTGAGTGTTCCCACTGTGATCCCAGCTCATGCTGGGCTTTGCAGCAGTGCCTCTGGTCCCGGGGTTTTTGGCTGGTTAGACCAGGGTTTGTCTTTGGGATTGACTCATTTGCCTTCAGTCCTTGTGGATTCACAGCCTGGCTGATGAATCAGCCTGGGGCTGGGGGTGATCCCATAAATGAGCAGGGACAGGGGGCAGGATGGGGCTGGAGGAGCTGGGCTGGTCCTGTGGGATTTTGGAGATGGTCCTGTGGGATTTTGGAGATGGTCTGGTGTACCCTCTGTGCAGGGCTTGGAGCTTTGGGTGTCTCCAGCCTGGGATCAGTGGGATCTTTAACCCTTGGAAGTGTTTTTAGTAGTTTGCAAGTAGATCAATACTCTGCACAGTGGTTCTTGTGCCTGGGGTTTGGAATATCTGGGATGCTGGAAGGTGCATGGCAGGGGTGGCACTGAGGGGGCTTTAGGGTCCTTCCCAACCTGAACCAGTCTGGGATTCCAGGATTTTGTCCTTTCCCCAGGAGGTATTGGTGGAAAATGTGTTCTGAAGTCTCTCTGGGCTTTGGTGGGCTCAGCCCAGCTCCCCCAGCCCCATCCTGCCCCTGTCCCTGCTCATTTATGGGATCACCCCCAATCCTGTCCCTGCTCATTTATGGGATCACCCCCAATCCTGTCCCTGCTCATTTATGGGATCATCCCCCAATCCTGTCCCTGCTCATTTATGGGATCAGGATCACCCCCCAATCCTGTCCCTGCTCATTTATGGGATCACCCCCCAATCCTGTCCCTGCTCATTTATGGGATCACCCCCAGTCCTGTCCCTGCTCAATTATGGGATCATCCCCCAATCCTGTCCCTGCTCATTTATGGGATCAGGATCACCCCCAGTCCTGTCCCTGCTCATTTATGGGCTCACCCCCAATCCTGTCCCTGCTCATTTATGGGATCACCCCAGCCCAGCTCTGTCCCTCCCCTCTGCTCAGTCCCTGCTGTTTGTTGTGGCCCTGCTGAGCCCAGGGGAAGCTCAGGGATCACTTTTCCTTTCTGTGCTCCCTGAGCTAAATTTACAGAGCAGCAGCTGGGCCTGGGAGCTGGAGCAGGGCCGGTGACATTGGGGACATTGCCACGTTCCTGCTGGGTCACCCACGGCCCCTCCAGCCAGGGATGGCCACAGCCCCTGGGGAACCACTCACTTTAACCAGTTCTCCCATTTTCCATCAGTTCTACCTGCTAAAAACACTCATTTTAACCAGTTCTCCCATTTTCTCCTGCCCATGGCATTTCTTCCAGCTTGGATTTGAAGGTGTAGATCAAATCCAGGAATAATTTTTGGGTTCTTACACCATTGACATCAAGCTGGTTCCATTGTGCCACTTAGGTGAATTTTTGGTGATACTATAATTCAAAGAAAAGTCTGGAATCCCAAGACCCAAGGTTCTAATTATCCCTTCTATGTATTAATATTTAACATATTTACTTATTGAATATTTCCTGGCTGGTCTTCCCAGGAACAGAAATATTCAGGGAATATATTTATATCTGTATAAAAGGTAGATGTGTGTGTCTTATATATCTAATATATCCATTATATTTATATGTTTTATTTATTCGGATTTATTATGACTTTCCCATCAAAATTATTACTATTGTTTTTTTTCAATGCTCCTCATCTCCCTAAAAGATGAACCAAAGCCTAATCCTGCTGTTAATTCCTGTCCTAGTTCTTGAGGGAAGACTTGAATTACCATGACCCAGCAGTGAAGCACAGCACTTTCCATGGAGAAGACAAACTCATCAGTGTGGAGGATCTCTGGAAGGCCTGGAAAACATCAGAAGGTAAAAAAAGGGCAAAAAGCCAAGAAAAATCCTTTCCCAAGAGTTTGGGTTTCAGGTGCCCTGGGCAGGGTGTGCAGCTCTCAGGGCAATGTGCTGCTTTTCCCCTTTTGGGGTGTGGATTCCCAGGATTTCCTCAGGGTTGGAATTTCCAAACTGTTCATGCTCAAATCCTCAGCATGGCCAGCAAAGCATCAGAGTTTGTTTTGTTCCTCTGCCCTAGAAATGTGTGTTAAATAAAACCAAATGCTGTCCAACCCCAGGGTCCTCTTCCAACACCCAGCTTCAGATGGAATTTAATGGGGTGAGAAAATCCTAAATATCCAGTAGAGCTGCTTGGGAGCTTTCCTTAGGAGAAACTTTTTGAACCTGGAAAGCTCCTTCACAGTTTAAAGAAGGGAGAATAAAATCCAGGAAGTGTCATAAGTCCAGTCCATGCAGAAATAACTTTGAGCTGTTCCAAAATGCTGTTACTCATCCCAGCACCCAGGGGGTTCAGCCTCTGGTGAGAAACTTCCTGAGCCCTGGGAATCTTGGAACAAACTTGTGAGATTGGCAAGTGCTTCCCCAGTGCTTTCACACAGAATTGCACAGAAATTATTCATCCATTTTTCCAGTGCTCCTCATCTCTAGGAGAGGAGTTCTGTCTGCATCCATTCCTTGAAACACTGGATATTTGTCTTCTGATCAGTTCATCAGCCATAGAAATTTCACTTTCTCACTTGTGTCGTGTTTGTATTTGACTTTCCTGTCTTAGCCCCTGGATTCCTGTGGGTGGGATGTGCTCTGTGTTTGCAGAGCTGTGGGTGCAGCTGCAGGGAGTGCAGCAGTGCCTCCCATTCCAGCAGCTCTGGGGGGACACTGAGGTGCAGGATTTGCAGAGGGGCTGTGCAGGAGGGGAGAAGCTCCAGGAGAGCTGGAGAGGGACTGGGGACAAGGATGGAGGGACAGCACACAGGGAATGGCTCCCAGTGCCAGAGGGCAGGGCTGGATGGGATTTTGGGAATCAGGAATTGTTCCCTGGCAGGGTGGGCAGGGCTGGCACAGGGTGCCCAGAGCAGCTGTGGCTGCCCCTGGATCCCTGGCAGTGCCCCAGGCCAGGTTGGACATTGGGACAGTGGGAGGTGTCCCTGCCATGGCAGGGGTGGCTCTGGGGGGGATTTGGGGTCCCTGGCAGTGCCCAAACCATTCAGTGATGTCTGTGGGATGATTCCAGAGCTGTGTATCCCAGACCAGACTCTCTTCCAGGCATGGACAGGGATGTGTTGAAAATTCCTGCCCCCATCCCTTTGGATTGGCACAACTGCCCAGGCAGGGCAGGGGTCACAGCCAGGGGGGATTTCACAGCCCTGTGGATGTGGCACTTGGGGCCATGGGCAGTGCTGGGGGTGGTTGGACTCTGTGGGCTCAGAGGGGTTTTCCAGCCTCAGGGACCCTGTGATTCCGTGGTCTGAGTCCCTGCTGTGGCCAAGGAGTGCCTGGTGTGGGAATCATTTATCCCATGCCAGCAGCTCACACGTGGCTGCAGTGTTTGCTGTCACCGGGGAAAGGGGAGAAGTCATGGAGGGCTGGGGGAGAACATCCCCCAATGCTCTCCAGGCCCCTCAGTGACTGAGCTGCTTGGCTCTGTCCCTGCCCTGGCACACACAGCTCCTGCCAGCTCCTTGGCAGAGCTGCCCTGGCACAGGGGCTGTCCCAGGGCTGGATTCAGTCCCTGCTCCTAGAATCAGTGACTGGTTCCTGAAGGGTGTCTGATGTCCTGGAATCACAGAGAGTTTGGGATGGAGGGACCCCAAATCCCCCCCAGAGCCACCCCTGCCGTGGCTCCCACTGTCCCAGTGTCCAGGCAGGGAGCACTGCCAGGGAAATCTGAAGCCCAATTTTGGAGTCTGATCTGAAGTCATGGGACTGGGGCAAGGTGTGCTCCTTGCTGTGGGTGTGGACAGCAGCACTGAGGGGCACTGCCATCCCACTGGGCCTCTTGCAGTTGTTTCCAAGCCATTGCTTTCCCTGCCTTCCATTGCTGCTGTTCCTGGGCACCCTGTACCTGGGTGGAAGGTAAATAAATCCTACCCTGTAATTATCACAGGAGATAAAGGTTGTGATGCCCTCTGAGGTGCTGGCTCTGCCAAAGCCATGGGGGTGGTGCCAGCCAGCCCTGGGGATGAGGATGAGGATGAGGATGAGGATGAGGATGCAGGGCAGGCTCCTGCTCATCCTGGTGCTTGTGCACGCCCCAGCTTGGCTCTCAGGGACTTCTCCCGAAATTGGCACCTCTGGGTGTGGCACTGAGAGCAGCCAGGGCCCTGGAGGAGCCCAGGGCTGGCACTGCTGGGCATGTGGCCTCATGCCCTGTGGCACAGCACTGGTGATGTCACCGTGCAGGGCTGTGGCTTCTCCCACTCCTGGCATGGTTGACATTGTGCTTGTGCCACCCCCACAGGTGTCCCCCAGGAGCTGTAGGAGCTCCCTGCTGCCAGGGCAGGATGGTGGCCCCGTCTGTGCCACCCTGCAGCTGTGTCACCGTGCCAGCCTCCATGGGAATGGCACCTTCCTTTGGAGCCTTGCTGTCCTCGCTCAGCTCTGGGCTCTGCTTCTGCTCCCTGAGCTCCCTCTGCTCCCTCAGCTCCCTCAGCTTCATCAACTTCATCAGCTCCCTGAGCTTCATCAGCTCCCTCTGCTCCCTCATCTTCATCAGCTCAATGAGCTCTCTGAGCTCTCTTACCTCTGCCACATCCTTCATCTCATCTCTCCCAGATCCCTCATCTCATTTCTCTGAGCTCCATCTCCCTCAGCTTCATCATCTCCCTCATCTTTCTCACTTCCTCATCTCCCTCAGCTTCATCAGCTCCCTCAGCTTCATCAGCTCAATCAGCTCTCTGAGCTCCATCTCTGATCTCACTCATCTCTACCAGATCCTTCATCTCTCTCATTTCTCTGAGCTCCATCTCCCTCAGCTCTGTGAACTTCTCAGCTTCCTCATTTCCCTCATCTTTCTCTGCTCCCTCATCTTCATCAGCTCAATGAGCTCTCTGAGCCCTCTTATCTCCACCACATCCTTCCTCGTCTCTTCCAGATCTCTCATCTCTCTCAACTCATTTCTCTGAGCTCCAGCTCCCTCAGCTTCCTCATCTCCCTCATCTTTCTCACTTCCTCAGCTCCCTCAGCTTCCTCAGCTCAGTCAGCTCTGAGCTTGCTTGTGTCCCCCAGCTCCCCCACCCCTCCTGTCCCTCCTCCCCCAGCTCCCCGTGGCAGGTGTGGGGCTCCCTGCAGCCTGGGAGGATGTTCCTGGTGCTCCTGAGCCCTGCCGGTGGTGGCATTGCAGCACGGCAGGGACAGAGGTGATCAATTAAAATTGAAGTGTAACAAAGCCCCCTGTGTCCAGTTAAACCCTCTGCAGTGTCCCAGGCCGGGCTGGCCGGGGCTGGGAGCAGCCTGGGACAGTGGGAGGTGTCCCTGCCATGGCAGGGGTGGCTCTGGGTGGGCTCTGAGGTCCCTCCAGCCCAAACCAGTCTGGGATTCTGGGATTGTCTTTGCCTTCAGAGCACTGCCCTAAGCACAGCACAGCAAAGTGACAAAGCTTTGCCAAGGTTTCCTCATTTATGGCCCTGGAGCTGCATGACAGCTCCAAGAATAATCCACAGATGCCCAGGGGAGGAGGTGAAGAGGCAAAGTTCACCTGGTTCACCTGGGCTGCAGCACCTGCTCCACCTCCTCCCACAGATCCTTCCTCAAGCTGCTTCCTCTCGTTTTTTTCTGGCATCACTCACGATGTGCTTTTCTTAGTCAAAGCTCAGAGGGAATCCCAGAATCCCAGACTGGTTTGGGTTGGAGGGACCCCAAATCTCCCCCCCAGAGCCAACCCTGCCATGGCAGGGACACCTCCCACTGTCCCAATGTCCAACCTGGCCTTGGGCACTGCCAGGGATCCAGGGGCAGCTCTGGGCATGCTGTCCATGGACCTGGAGCAGGGGCTGAGGTTTTTGGAGCTGCCCTCAGAATTCCAGGGCTCTGGGCATGAGGTGAGGATGAACATTCCCTGTTGGGAGTGTGGAGGCAGCAGGATCACCTGGCTGATGGAAATCCAGGTGATGCCAGCTGTCACATGCCAGGCCTTTGGGTGTTGGCCCTGCCAGGCTGCTCCTCTATCTGATGGCCTCATTGCATGTTTTCATTGTGGGAGCACGGGGGAAAGGCAGCCCTGGCAGGGCTGTGCTGGCACAGGGAAAGCTGCAGGAGCTCTTCCCACACTGTGGGCTCTGTGGGGCTCAGGGGCTGCAGAACCTCAGCAGTTCTGGAGTCTGGGCAAAAACAGTCCCTGAATGGGCAGAATGAGATCCTGCAGGACTGCCTGGAGTGTCCCAGTGCCACAGCATGGGAGATTGGGTGGGCAGGGCTGGCACAGGGTGCCCAGA